CTCCTCCTCCTCCCGCTATGACGTTTTTCCCTCTCATCGCTTACTCAGGTTGGTCTCGGAGGCAACCAGCTCGTCCATCCTGGCATCGAGCAACTCGCCTACACGCTCGAGCTCTCCATCTACAGGTCTAGAGCTGCTTACTGCCCTCCCCTCCCTCCCCTTGCTTGTTCCATCCTCCTCTTCCTTTTGCTACTCCTCCTCTTCCTCCTCTTTCTCCTCCTCTTGCTCCTGTTTCTTCTTCTCCCCTCGCCCGCCCCTCCCTTCTCTCCTCCTCCTCCTCCTCCTCCTTCCATTCTCCCTCCCCTTCCACTTGCTTCCACTAACTTACGCTATATCTCTACAGAATCGTCGTGTCCTACTACCTCGACATCCCTGATCTTCTCGGCAACGCAGGTTCTTCCCAGCCCGCAGCTCCCCCCCTCCCCCTACCTCCGAAGGAACTTCGTCAGAGTTGTTGGCTGCTTTACAAGCAGTCTCCATCCTCCTCTCTCTCCCCTTCCCTCCCCTCCTCTCTTCCATCCTCCTTTCTCCTCTCTCCTTCACTTTGCTCCCCTCTTCTCTCGATGCCCTTGTCTCCCCTCTCATCACTGTTTTCTCGCCTCAGGATCGGAATGCTCCTCCTGGATCGTGTGGAGCGAAACTCCAAAAAAAGCATGGAAGGAGCTCTACCTTCCAAGGTCTCCACCACCACCACCATCTTCTCCTCGTCCACCACCACCACCATCTCCTCCTCCTCCTCCTCCTCCTCCTCCTCCTCCTCCACCACCACCACCACCTCCTCCTCCTCCTCCTACTCCTCCTCCTCCTCCTCCCTCTTCCCCCTCTCATCTCCCAGCTCGTGCTCACGGCTTTGCAGGCTGCAAACTTTCCTGGCATTCAAGTCGGGCATTCTGCCAGTAGGAGAGGCAACCATGACATAAGAAGAGTGCAAGCAAAAAGACAATCACAGCTTCAAATCATAACTAATGTTACCATCACTCCTCCTCCTTCCTCTTTCTGCCTCCTTCCTCTTCCTACAAGCACATCAAGGTCCTGTGGCGCGAGCAGAAGCACTTCTTTCCTTCATCCCTCCTCGTCTTCACCCTCACACTGCATCCTTCAGGGTGGACGCAGCGGAACCCGAGCAAGCTCTCGTGGCAGCTCCACTTGTGCCGCTTGCAGAAGATAGGAGGCCCTCCAGCAGGACCGAAGGAAGGATGCTTCCTGCATCCCTCCCGCTGGCACCTGCTCACGTGCACCAGGTCCACCTCCCCTGGTCGTGCGTGCTGCCTGCAGTGCAACAGAATCTTCGTCCTGCCTCCTACTCCTCCTCCTCCTCCTCCTCCTCCTCCACATCCACCTCCACCACCTCCTCCTCCTGCATCCCCCCGTTTCAGTGGAAGAAGAGTCTCTTCAATCTTCTCACTGTCCCGATAAAGGTGCAGATCAGGGCCGAAGCAAGCATGCTGTGGGCATTCAAGGCATCAACCTACCAGCAGAAGCAGCTTCTCCTCCTGCGTCCCGCCTCCTCCTCCTCCTTCCCTCTGCTGTCCGTCACCTTCCCCCTTCCTCATCGAGGCACAACTGACACAGAGAAGGTCGTTCCATGTCCTCTCGCTCCTTGAGAACCTGCCGAAGGCAACGGGACGATCATGGCAGTGCTCGCAGCGTCGCTCCTGCCAAGGACTGGAACTCCTCTCCTCCCCATGTAGGAAGTCAGCCCAACCCTTCCATCCCTCCTCCTTGTACGCGTGGTTGGGGTTGTAGGGGATAGACGACGGTCTCTCCTGCCAACTCCAGAACTCCACTCTCCTCCTGTACCCTTGCCTCCGGACGATCTCCCGAGCTGTGTGGAAGTCCAGCCTCTTCCTGCTCCTCGACCGCGACCTCCCTTGGAACATGCTCACGTTGAGCGCCTCATCGGAGGAGCAGTCTGAGAAGATAAAGTTCTTGCTGTCCTGCATCAGCGTCTTGGAGGCGATCTCCTGCCAGCCGCACCGGGAGGACTGGGAGTCGGCAGACTCCAAGAGCTGGATGCCCCCACTCTTCCTCCCCTCGCTCATCTCCACCGTGTCTTCCTGCTCGGTCGGAGACTTTGCTCCTTCACATGAGCAGAAGGAAGACGAGCTATGCTGATCGCCAGAGAAGGGCAAGTGACCAGTCAGGAGCATGCTTGATCCGCTCAGTCGCAGAACCCCCCGTGCTTCGCTCGATTGGTTGATGTCCACAGAGAGGAGGAGAATAAGGATGAGACTGGAGAAAAATTGCATCCTCGACAGAAGTCTCCCTACCATCGCATCTCTTCAGAGCCGAGTCATGCATTCCATTCCTGTACCACCAGCCGTCAGATGGCTCGCTACCAAGTCTCAACTCAGCCGTTTCTTCCAGTTGAAGTTGAACTCCAGCCTGAACTCCTACACTTCTTGTCACTAACTAATGAATCGCTAAACACTCCTAAGCGTCCTTCCTTCCTCCTCCTCCTCCTCCCCTTCCTCCCCCTACATCACTGCTTCCTTGGAGGCCGCCATTTGACGGTTTTAACCGTAAGGGAAAACAGTATGAGGGGGTGGGGCCGTGATCAGATGGACCCCTACACACTCTCCAAGTGCGTGCATGCTGGTATCTTGGTGGGTAAAAGCATGGAATTACAGGGGTACTTAAGGATATGGGGTAGTGACAGTGCTGAAATATAGGGTAGGGTAGGCTAGGGTGTTCCCTTTGTTTGTGGGGGTCCTTTCATGAGCGGAGCCTCCCGGCGGGCCCGGAGGTGGCCGATCGGACTCCGGGAAATGGTCCGGGCCCCGGGGCCCGGGACCGTCCGGGAGACTCGAAGAGGCGGCCGGGCCGCCGGGTTTCTAAGGCTGATCACGATGGTCACTCAGTACTATGATGATATCATTCGGTACCACAAGTTTTACTCATCATGCAGCCTGTCAGTAGTCTCTCACTATATCCGCAGAAGTTTCCAAAAGACCTCTTTTCATGGTTTCTACAGGAGCCTGGAGTCCGTGAGACACGAGTGGGCTAGTACTGACGGGGGTCTGAAAGCTGGGGAAGTAGGGGGTTACCCTTCAAATCTGGTCCATGAAGGGGTGATTGAGCAGAGGATGAAGGGGGTAGTCGAATTGATTGAGACAGAGCAGGGGGGTTAAAGCTACCAAAGGAGTCGTGATAGCAGAACTACCCACCGTCTCCGAGGACAGAAGCTGATATTCGAGCAGTACCCCCCATATAAGCATGAATTTTGGCTGGAAATGAGGGGCTTCATGAGTACCCCCACCCACTATTTTAATCCGCCCGCGGGGGGACATAGAGGACCGAGTTACCCTTTCTCCTTGGAACCCTCTAAAACCTTTTAAATTCAATAGTGTAATTATATAAAGTTTACAATATTTTATGATATCTTTGCAACCTTCCCGAAGTTAAGTATAAAATACATAATCTATATAAAAATCGAAGCCATATTTCCTTCATTATGGGTAAATACATATAATTTCAAATAATTATATATAATATCTTCATAACAGTTAGGGACCCCTTCGGGGCCAAAAGGGAAGATAAACCCCTTACCGACCACCCTCATCAATGACCCCACCGCGCTTTGACTGTTGGACTAACTACCTAGGGGTCATACCATGGACCCCTGAGATCCCTTTAGTACCGGTTAATTAGACTCAATAGACCCCATAATTTAAATAGGAAGATCAAAGTTACACAACTGTACCGGTGCTTGACTTCCATGACCCATGACCTCGAAGTCCAGTACCCCACCCCTATGTTCCGCCTACAGGAACTACTCTCGGCGATCATGGCGGAGGAGGGGACGTTCTTGGTGGAGCGCTCCAGCGCTGCCCATACTTCAGACCTTCCCCGTCCCCCCTGCCCTCTCCCTCCTCCTCTTCCTCCTCATCCAGACTCCTCCGAGAGTTCCCACTCGCTCCGCCTCTCCATCTCCTCCCTTCTTCCCCAATCACAACTGACGCCCTCTCATGAACCAAGTCACATCGCACACCCATCTCCACCTACTTTGTCAGACGATGCTGAGCCTCCCGCCGTGTCCTATCACTCACTTCCTCTTCCTCACTCCCTCCCTCACTCGCATCGTTTGGTCCCAGTCGGCTCGTCTTCGACACCATCACCTCCCTCTTCTGCTCCTTCCCTCTCACCTCTCGGCCCTGGCGATCATAGCTCGTCATTCGCGTCCAACCATGAGGGGAACGGCGCTGGCGCACTTCCAAGGTCACCGCAGGGAGCTAGCAGTGAGGACTTGTTTGAACGAAGACAATGGAGGCAGAGGTTGAAGGTCAGCACAGACCTGGTACAGGACGTGGAGGAAGAGCTGATGGGGAGGACGAGACGTCCGTCGATCTCGACACACATCAACGATGATGATCTTGCTGCGAGCCCCACATCACGATCAGCATCAAATAGACAAGGTGGAGGCAAGAGCCCTCAACACGGTGTGTTCAGCAGGAGGTCGACGCTCATAGAAAGCTTCCGGAACTCTAAGGACCTGGCCACGATCCCTTCCTTGGACCTTCCGGCAGACTGGGAGCAGGAGTTCAGAGAGTCTCTCTACAGGCCGACGATGCTGCGGATCTGCTCCGTCATCGCCACCCCCACCTTCCTGTTTATGTTCCTCTTCAGCATCTACTCTGACGACTCGATCCCCGGGAGCGAGACCCTTCACATGGTGACCTACCTTCCGTTCCTCGTCTCTTGCATCTGGTGTGCCGTCACTGCAGTCCTTGTCTTCCTCGAGCCGGCGCAGGGGTTCTGTCTCAGACACTACTCCGCCCTCGTCATCAGCTTCTCCCTCAACCTGTACCTCAGCTTCATAGTACCTGACGCCATCAAGGAATATAGGCGTACCCTCTATGGCGATGACCGTGCGGAGTACGTGACGTGGCAGATAGACTACTCCACCTTCCCTCCCACTCGCAACTGCACGGACAGCAGGCCGTCGCAGACGATGACTTTCTGGCACGACTTCCATGCTATTGGCTGCAACAACATGGTGATGGGGGGCGACAACTTTTGCCTCTATGTCACTGTCCTCCTGGACCCGCTGGTGTTCCACTTGAACCACAAGGATGTTGTCATCCAGACCTGCCTGATGACTATCATCTTCATCGTGGGCGCCTTGGCGACCGGATCGCATCACTCCCTTCTCATGACGCTGTCGGTGTTCCACCTTGTCGTGGGGCTGTCGATCGCCGTCATCTGCCGCGCTCAGAGGAAGAGCGAGACGGAGCAGTTCGTCATCGCAAAGTACACCAAAGTCTCCTCGGATCAGAGCAGGAGCATCGTGCACACGCTGGTGCCTCCCGATGTTGCGTCGAAGCTTGCCTTCCATGACAAGAAGACGTTCCTGGGCACTACCATCCCTCAATGTATCGTAATGTTCTGCTCGCTGGAGCCACGGGAGCTCCTGAAAGCCTCTCCTACCTTCGAGATCTTCAACCTGATGGACGACGTCTTCAAGGTCTTCGACCATCTAGTCTCCATGAGCGGCATGTACAAGTATCAGCATGTTGGCGACTGGTACATCATCACCTGCCCCCGGGCCGCCAACCCCTTTGCGGAGCAGGAGCAGAGGAAACCTTACCCGCACGACTACGTGACGTCGATGGTGCAGCTAGCGAGTTGCTTGCAGCTGGCGTGCAAGGGGTATGACTACAAGGGGACGCAGCTCAGTCTCAAGGTAGGCGTCCACTTCGGATCCGCCGCAGGGGCAGTGATCGGGGTCCACCGATCCTTCTACTGCGTGTACGGGGACACGATCAACACCACAGCTCGCATGTGCAAGTATGCAGGAGACGATGAGATCGCATGCTCGAAGCAGTTCGCGGACAAGGTGGCGGAGGACGGGGGGAAGGACATACTCTCCTCGTCCAAGGGCTCGCTGTACATCAAGGGGAAGGGGGAGATGGAGGTGTTCCGCCTGGAGGTGGCACAGAAGGAGGAGGACAGGAGAGAGTCGATGCATGGCTTGTTGAGAGCGGAGTCGAGGAGTCGATTCAGCTCTGTAGGCTCGGACTCGTCGAGCATCGTGGAGCCGCTGCTGAGGGTGAAGTTGCAGGAACTGAGCAAGGAGGGGAGGGTCCTGGTCAAGAGCAGCAAGTTTGCGCTCAACAGGTTCGAGACTGAGTTCGTGGACGCCAAGACCGAGAAAGTCTTCCTCCAGGACTGCACCTACAACCACCGCATGATCATGTCGGCAGGGGTTCTGGTTCACTTTCTGGCCGTGCTGTGCCAATGGCAGTCGGTAAACTTCCCGGAGGCGAGCTACACGCTTGAGGGAGATGAGGGCAAGGTGGGGACGGACACTGTCTTCCTCCTCCTGACCATCCACCTCGGCGTTGTCTTCGTGTGCAGCATTGCCTCAATCATCTGCTTCTTCAGCTCGGACTACATGGGGTTGAGGCAGAGGTCACATCTTGCCTTCGTGAAGATCGTCTTCAACGCCTGCTCGCTCGCCGCCAACTTTTACATCGCCATGGACGGCTGGCTGATCCTCTTCAGCACCGTCTTCGTCGCCATCCACTCCATGGCAAGCGGCATCGGGTTCAAGCACAACGTGCTCGTGTCGGCCGTCGCCTTCTTCCTGTCTGTACCCTACATCCTGTCGGAGGAGCAGAAGTCGGAGAGGATAGAGATCATCGTCGAGATCGTTCTTACCGTCCTTGTCTCTGTCTTTGTGTCCCGCATCATCGACAAGAGCGAGCGGCTGCGGTGGAGACTCTACAAGCTCTTCCAGGTTGAGTTCAGGAGACTGAGGCTGATCCTCGTCGACCTGCTCCCCGACGACATCGCAGAGAAGATGATCCACGATAACATGAACTTTGACGTCACGAGCAGGAGGGCGGTTGTCCTCCAGCTCGACATCTGCAACTTCACCGCCATGTCGCAGACCATGAGCGCGCTGCACGTAGCGACGATGGTGCACTCCATCTTCTCCGCCTTCGACTCCTCCGTGGAGAGGCTGGACCTCTTCAAGATGGACACGATAGGAGACGCGTACATCGTCGCTGCCTGGCTGCCCGAAACTCCCGATTGGCATGAAGATCGCAACAGCAAGAAGATCTGCCGCAAGGTTCTGATGCTAGCAAGGGACATGATCACGGCCATGGAAGAGCACAGGACGCTGACGGGGCTCGAGGTCAACTGCAGGATCGGAATCTCCGTGGGAAAGTTCGCGTGCGGGCTGATAGGAAGGGTGCAATCTCGATTTCACGTGATGGGGAGGGCTATGGGGGAGGTAGAGCACCTGGAGCAGAAGTGTGTTATCAACGGCATCCATGTCAGTGACAAGTTCCTGCGAGGACTGGGCCTCGATATCCTCAGGAGCAGTGAGACGAAGGAGCAAGGAGGGAGCCCCGGCGAGAGGGGGGAGGAGGATGGCGCGAGTCCGGAGGAGGTGAGGATGGAAGTGAAGGAGGACGAGGAGGAGGAGAGCGAGCAGGGGACGTGCAAGGAGGGAGAAAACCCCTCGGAGACCTCCGCCTCCTCGTTGCAAGAGCGCGTTGCCGGTTGTATGCCCTTGCACTGGAAGCTGACCAAGACCTTCACGTACGGGGAAGACAACAAAAAGGCGGAGGAGGAGCTTGACAGAGATTTCCGACCGACGTGCTCAGACGAGTCGGGGCTTCATATAGAGGATGAGACCATGCATGCGAGCTTCGTCTTTGAGCTTGTCGATTAGAAGGGGTGGGGCACTTGTTTAGATTGTAGAGTAGTTACACAATGAAATGTTTTTAGTTGCCAAATATCTTCTGTTTTGTTCGGATTCATTGGTCGGCCATATTCCGACAAAAAAAGCTGAAGAGAAAACACAAAGACAAACTGATATGTCAGTTTTCAACACACTACAATTATACACACGCGCGCACACACAGAGTGCTCCTCCTGTTTCATGCACTGCTTCCGCTGATGAAGATGGAGTAGCGACAAAGAGGAGGAGGTAGGAGGAGAATGGGGAGAGCAACGAGAATGGGGGATGTAGAAGGGAGGGAGGAGGCAAGGAAATCGAGGGAGGATGGAGTGCTAGGGGGACCTTGGGATCGAGTCAAACTCCTGACTGTCAACGATGAAGGTCAGAAAACAAACAGAAAAAGTACAACAAAGCATGAGAAACGGAAAGAGGAGAAAAGGGAAATGAGACCGGAAGATATCTTCATCATCACCACCACCATCATCATGAGCACCACAATCATCATCATCATCACCACCACCACCACCACCACCACCACCACCACCACCACCACCACCACCACCACCATCATCATCGTCATCATCATCATCGTCGTCGTTGTCATCATCATCGTCATGCTCATCATCATCATCACCACCACCACCTCCTCCATCACCATCACCATCACCATCACCATCACCATCACCATCACCATCAAGGTCAAAGATGCAACATCAGCACCGCAGATCGCACCATGGACACACACAAGGGACATGCAGCATGCGGCATTACTCGATCGGAAGGCTCCATTCCTCCCTCGTCATCCTCGCCTTCTCCAGCACGGACTTCCCCTCCTTGTACTTCTGGCTCTGCTCGAAAGCCTCCTCGTACTTCCACCCGAGGTATTCGTCGCAGCAGTTGCAGTAGATGTCTTGCACCTGCCATCCGCCCTCAGTCCTCTTGTTCTCTTCCTCCTCCGAGAGAGCGAGAGAGAAGGGGGTGCTGGGGAGGGGAGGGAGGGCAGAGAGATCAACAAGTACCAGAATATCACGACCAGCAGCAGCAGCAGCAGCAGCAGCAGCAGCAGCAGCAGCAGCAGCAGCAGCAGCACTAGGGCAAAGACGGGACAGCGTCGCCTACACAGGGGGGCAGGATGCTTCTCCTTCCTCTCGTCTCTTCACCTTGTGTAGCCCAGTGGTCAGTACTCGGTCCTCCGTCGGCCCAAAGTTGATGTTGACAACTGTGTTGAACAGATACGCCCTCCCAGTGCGCCCTTGGAAGGACTTGGACACGATGTCTTCATAGTTTGTCAAGTGGGTTCGACAGTTGGAGCATGCGTAGATCTTGCTCCCTGCGAGGAACTTACGGTGGATTCTTCCCATGTTTCCGGCTGTTGCAGCACAAACTAGAGCCGCTGGAAATGCTCTGCATTCAAAGTCAGTGTGAAACGAGAAGAGGCAGGTGGGGAGGGGGGAGAGGATGACAGAAATGGTTCACAGGATGAGATCAAAGAGAGCTGTGAGTCGCTCGACTCCTCGGGGATCAGGACAGGACTGAAGCATGTAAAATCACAAACTGTAGGCGAGGCCGACAAACAGTCCTATCATCGCAACAAAGTGGTGGGGGGATGGCAGTTGGAAACTCTCAACGTCCTTAAGTTGTTGAGAGGTGAGAGCAGGTGTGAGGCATGAAATGGTTCAGTCGTGATGCAAAGCCTTGCTGCTTAGGTGCCGGTGCAAGTATTGTAGCTGCTAGAAGGCAAGCAAGCAAGGTCGGGCAAGAACTGAGTTCGCCAAGGAGGGAGATGACTGGAAGGAGGAGCAGGAACGAGCAGGTGACTTTCTCACTAGACAGGTAAGGGCAGTGAGGGAGGCAGAGGCGAGGGAGGGTGGAAGAGTCGAGGGAGGGAGGGAGGAGGAGGAGGAGGAGATGGGGAGGGGTTGGTTGGGGTTGAATTTCCTTCAACCCTTTAGGGATCCCTTGAGCCATGTGGGGTAGGGTGAGCAAGTGGTAGGATTTGTGAGGGTGGGGTGATGTCAAATGACCGGTAGAAATGCTAATTTCACTACTGAATATGATTCAAATTACAGGGTAGGGTACAACTTCATAGGGTAGCAATCAATTCAAATATATTGTGGGATGGGGGTAGTAAACAATGGGTGGCATCTTGCTACATCCGGGGGTAGGGTAGTCTCACCCGCACTCCATTACCCTCTAATTATGGGAAATATTGTTGGTATTTGGTGGGTGGGGGTCATCAAAATCGCTGCAACTACGGGTAGGAGTGAATTCCAGTGTGAAGGTCAGGACGCTGAGTGGTAGGGGTAGTAAGTCTAGAAATGAGGGGTCATTGGCATATTTGAGTACCCCTGGTTTGTAGTCAATTCACAGAATTAGAGTAGGTGGGGTCAGCCGTTCAAGGAATAGCGACCGACCGCATCCCCGCATTGACCGTGCTTGTCATGTCCAGGCCTGCCTCAGATGTGTCGGCCCGGAAGGCCCGGCCGGGTCCGGCGTTTACCATCATTGTCACTGAGAGTTTCTGATCAGGTCCGCCTCAGCCCCCGGCACATGATGCTCTATAACGGAAGGTCTCTCCCATGTAACGGTCCATCATAACGTTTTAACGGTTATGTGTTTTTTTTTCCTCGGGCACGAGCGCGTGAGAGCGAAAGCATGGTAAGTGAACGTGCGGGCATGCGGTGATGGCGGGGAGGAGCAGGAGCAGGAGCAGGAGCAGGAGCAGGAGGATCTTGAAGAGAGACAGTTGGAGGGTGAGAGGAATGGAAGATGGCAGCAGGTAGAATAATAGAATCCTCATACTTGTTGATGTTTCCGAGCTGATGTATGCAGAGTACAGTGGTGAGATGGGTGTTGGCAGCAAGTGAGTGATGGATCAGAGAATGAAGAAGGGTGATTTTGATACAAGTCATCGAGATCTAGCAGGGGTAAGGAGAATGAATCCTGTGAGAAGAGAACGGTCCAGACTGGCACATCATTCTGAACAAGTAATGAAACATGCGAGTTGAGAACGAGATGTCTGTTGTTGAGGATAGAAAGGAAGAGCGAGAGCAGTGTATGAGAATGTAAGGATAGAAGCCATTTGTTTGGTGGGTCTGTTATTTGTATGGTGATATTGTTGTTTGTTGAAAATGATCTGTGATGTACCATCTACGTGGCGGAAGTAAGAACTCTGTCAAGTAGTCAGGCACGCAGGAGGGAAGTGGAGAGTAGTTGGCAGTGCTCAATATTGGAGAACAGTTGGGAGAGCAAGAGAAGGGTATGTTCCAGTTGTGACGTGGGAATTCTCATTATGTCAAAAGATGTTTCGTGTGTGAATTCGCTCCCTCGGTCTGCATGGCTCCTGTGTTGAGTTGTAGTCTCTAATGATGTTGGTGTCTGTGGAGGAGATGTACACATGCTCTGTGCCTTGTGGCAGGAGGATCTCTCTTTCATACCTGACGCTCTTCCGTGCAGTCTCTTACCATCAAGGACGGTGGAGACTTCCAGCACATCTTGCGTATCTTGGGTACGAACATCGATGGGAAGCAGAAGGTCATGTACGCCATGACCTCTGTCAAGGGTATCGGTCGCCGTTTCTCCAACATCGTCTGCAAGAAGGCTGACGTCGACATGGACAAGCGTGCCGGCGAGCTCACGCAGAAGGAGATGGACGACCTGGTGACTGTGATCCAAGTCCCCCACGAGTTCAAGATCCCCGCCTGGATGCTCAACAGGAGAAAGGACTTCAAGGACGGCAAGACCTCCCAGCTCTCCTCCAACCAGATCGACCAGAAGATGCGTGACGACCTTGAGCGCCTCAAGAAGATCAAGAACCACAGGGGACTCAGGCACTACTGGGGCCTCCGCGTTCGCGGTCAGCACACCAAGACCACTGGCCGCCGCGGCAAGACCGTCGGTGTGTCGAAGAAGAAGGGATAAACTTAACGCTCCATGTACGAACCTTGATGAAATCTATGATCGCATCCGACCAACCTGTCCCATGTTGTGTGCGCACTTGTCTTCTTGTCATGGTGGGAGGGAGGGGGAAAGGAGGAGGGAGAGTGGGACCGACGGGTTTATTTCATCCTCTCCTCTTACTCAAGCGCCATGAATCCTTCTCCTCAAAGCGGTTGTAGAGCGGCTCGATCTTCTCTTGCCTCTTCCTCTTGGAAAGCTTGGTGGGGTCGCCCGCCCGGTAGTATCTGCGATTAATCAGTCCCAGCACTGCAGTCCAGCCTCTCCTTGTCTTTGCGCCCTCCACCCTTCTTCCCCCTTCTCCTCTTTCTCCCTTCTACAACTCCCTTCTCCTCGACGTCGCATGCACCTCCTCCGTCTCACCTTGGCGCCACCTCGACCAGCCACTTGGCCTCGATCTGAATGATGTTGCGCATGTACTGCGAGCAAGTGAGCAATTGAAGGAAGAGAAGATGAGGATAGATCAGAAGGAAATGAAAAGAACTTGTGAATGAGGAGCAGGAGCAGGAGCAGGAGCAGGAGCAGGAGCAGGAGAAGGAGTAGGAGCAGCACCTCTTTGGTGGTGGTGACCAGCTCGTGGTAAATGACCATCTCCGGGTTCTTGTTGAAAAGGGCGGAGGAGGGATGGA